GACAAAGTACACACTAACCAGACAAGTATACTAGAAACACAGATAGTTCTGCCAAAGTACTCACTAACCAGACAAGTATACTAGAAATACTACGTCATGAGTCAGTTCTCAGCAGGAGAAACCAACCAACCCTAACATTCTGAGCATTTAAGAAGTAAAATGATGTATTTCATAGTAGAATAGATCTCTGAACATTATATTTGTACTTTTACTTTAAATGTTTATATGTGTGAATATAATGGATTAATTAAAGTTAATCCCGTCACCTGTGTTCCTCCACGGCTAACAGTTAGCATTAGCCATCAGTAGTCTGTCACATTAAAGTAGATTTAGAGGTATTTGTACTTTATTTAAGTTTTACTTCACTATGTTAATATGACAGCTGTTGCTTTTAGTTAAAATGCAGATTTTTAAATATTCTAGAATCTAGATTAACAATGAATAACAATGACCCATTGATATAATATATAATAATAACCTGTCATAGTGCTGCTGATTGAGTGCTATGATATTAATACTAGTAATATTTCTACATTGCAGTACTTGTACCTTTACTCTGAAACATTTGAGGCTCATGTTTACTGCTACAGATGTGTTTCGGGTTACAGACTGTCTATGAAACCCACGAGGACCGTCGTCTTCATCACTGCAGTGACCTCGACCTCCTCCGAGGATGAAGAGTGAAAGTGAAGGAGTCCTAATCTAATCTGACCCACTCTCAGTAACCAGTGATGAGGAGGATGATGATGAGAAACCCCTCGAGCGTCTGCAGATTACGCTCCTTTAGCGGATAATGACTTCTGAAAGTCTGTTAATCAGAGCAAACAGATGCTGCTGCTTCTGTTTCTGATGGACAGATTACACAGAGAGAGAGAGAGAGAGAGAGAGAGAGAGAGACGCCAGGATTCAGATCAGAAACCTCTCAGACGGACCCCCGAATCAATTCAAACCTCGAGTTCACTCTGCTTCTGACTCAGGAGGCCACATACTGACAAAGTACACACTAACGGGACAAGTATAGAATAGAAGAAGAAGAATAGAATAGAATAGTACTTTATTCATCCCCGAGGTGAAATTTGTCTATTAGATATACACCCAGATAATACTGACAAAGTACACACTAACGGGACAAGTATACTAGATATATGTAGCGGTGCACAGAATGACGTCACACAGGCTCAATCTGGTGCTACACAGTTAATGAAAATGGTTCTGTAAAATACAAAGATATAATATATACGTTTAGGTATGCAGTCGCTTCTCAGCACTTTCTTCTTCTATCCTGTTCAGAGATTCTCATGTTCTCGCGCATTCATGCGAGACTTCCCTCTGGCTCTCTGTCACAGACACTGCTGATGTCGCAACACTGCCACCTACTGGCGATCCACTGGATCCACTGCCTACAAA